GACAGGTCTCTACCAGAGACGTATACGGCGTCTCTACGTCACTCCTCTTCAGTCCAGATATGGTCACTTCCTGTTCACTGGTTGCAAAAAACAAGATGGTGGCGGCGAAATTGCTGAACTGGAGGCTTCAAAACATCCACAAACCAACGAGGTCACGATGACTATGTCCACTTCTTATTAACCGTCTGTGGTAACGACTCACTTTAGGAGCCTCAAGTGGCCGTTTGTGGAACTGCAGGCTGCAGCGCTTCAACAGAGAAATGAAAAACAACTTCAGTCATATTTCATTTTTCTCTCTGTTTGTCTGCAGAACGTTCAAGAGTTTCTACTTGAGAGTCACGGACCAACAAAGAGCTACAGGTAGTGTGTGTGTGTGTGTGTGTCTTTACCTTATGAGGTCCTATGTGCAGTGTAATCATGTGTGTTTGTGCTGCTCTATGAGACAGTGTGTCCATGTGTGTGTGTTTGATTGTCTGACCCCGACACCACCGCTTAGGTCACATAATGAGAAGAGATCCTGCAGAGAGCAGAGGCCATTAACCAGTTTACACACCCACACACACGCACACTCTCACACACACACACACTCAGTGGTCCAGCTTGGCCCACTTCAGCCCAGGTGGGACAGCAGTTAGCTGCTGTTAATGCCCCCCCCCCGCAGCCTGCAGCGGAGTTATGAAACGTCTCAACCTGAGGTGTCTGTGTGAGGTCACTGCAGACACCACCGAAGAAAAAGGAGAAGAAGAGGAAGAGGATGATGTCCTTCCTTGATTCTATAAGTCTTTTCTTCATTCCAACGCTTCCTTCCTTCCTCATTCTCTCATGTCCCGTTTTCTTCAATGTCTTCTTTCTTTCCATGATTTTCTGTGCATCCTTCTTTACTTTATTGCTCATTTTCTGTCCTTCCTTCCTTCCTTCCTTATTCTGTTCATTTTGTCCTTTTAGTCTTTGTTTCCTTCCTCGCACATTTCTTTCCTTCTTTCCTTTGTTTCTTTTTTGCTCCCTTCTTTAACTCTCTTCCTTTCCTCCCTCCTCTTTCCTCATATGATTAAATTACTTCCCCTTTTCATTCCTTACACCTTTCCTTTCTCTCTCATTAATCTTTTCTTCTTTCCTTCTGTCCTTCCTCCATTCCTCAAACCTTTCATTTGTTTCCTTCCTTCCTCCAGCAGCCTCTCCTCTCATCCTTCCTTCCTTCCCTCCCTGTTGTTCCTTTCGTTAATCTCGCCTCCATTATATTCTGCTGCTGTATCGAGTTCTAACCCGGCTCTCAGTGAACCATAACATGGATTTATCAGCGCCTTCTGCTCGCTTATGTAAGTCTCATTCAGTGAATCAGGTCCATTGGTCATGTTATTAAGCCACCCAGCCGTGACACCTCCTGCCTGCTCCCCTCTACCAGTCAGTCCAGGTCAGTGGGACACCTCCTCATCATAACAAGAACGGTCGGGTTCTTCTTCGTGCTCTCTTCTACTCTATTCTGTTTCTAGGTCACTCGTAACAGTAAATGTAGGTTTTCCACTGGTTCAGTTCGAGGAGTCTTACCACTCTTATCACAGTCACGAGTCACTCAACATGCTAATAAAGAGCTTCATGGAAAGAACACATTCAGTTTTATATTTATAACAGTAGAGGAGGAGCAGCGGATTTAACTGGAGGTAACTAGTTCAGCAGCTGTGAGGAGACGTTCGCAGACACAAATAATAAAATATAAAATCTTTGGAACGATCCGAGTGTTTCCTGAAGAGCAACCATGGCGATGTGGTCACTTCAGCAGCTTTAGAAGGTGTTTTAGCTCAATCAGTGAACAGCTGGAGGTGTGAGTTTAACTATCAGGATGTAACAAACCGACGTCATCGAGCAGCGTCTCATTTAAAGCTCCAAACCTCTAAAGCGACCCAAGAGGCTCTAATGAACGGCAGCTACCGGCTCCTCAAAGCCCTCAGCGTCTGTGTTCGTACATCAAAACTAGTTTGGACGCGAAGACATCAATCAGCCAATCACGAGGTTAATGAAGGCAGTGGAAGGCCTTTATTGTGAAACTACATTCTGCAATGCTAGTGAGGAGAGCTAATGAACGCTTTATAGATTTATACATTCTCCAGCAGAGGAGAGACAGTTTGGTACCCGTAGAAAATGAATGAATGTGAAGGCCTCGAGGCCACATCCCTGAACATGGTCCTCATGGAGGTCCATGAACTCTCCCTTGGACCTCCATGACGAATTGTTCTATAGCTGTTTGCGGTCATGGTGGTCCGTCACTGTTGACTCATCCTTCCCTTTGTTTTGCAGCTCCGGAGACGTTAAAGTCGGATCGTCGTCACAAGGCCTCGCTCACCGCTACAAGAAGAGTCCCTGGACGGGGTCCACGCTCGCCCAGGAGGCCAAGGAACTCACAAGGACTGTCAGAGCCATCCTGGAGGTGGACTGTAAGTGATCTCTGCTCGCCTCCACGCATGCAGGTCTGCACCTCCTCCTCCTCCTCCATGTTTCTGCGCTGCCCTGCATGCGACTCCCCGCCGGACTGAGCTCAAACCAAAGTGATCCCGCCGACCTGCTGCCGTGCGTTAACTGTCCTCCCCGTTGCAGTTCTGACCTTCTAGAGGATCCGACCCTGAGACGTCTGCAGGACCTCAGCAGCCAACCGTCAACCCAAACTCTCTCCTCCCTGACAGCTCCTCGTCTCCTCACTACCTGCTAGCAATGGACTCTTGTCTTAATGAAGCACAGTTATCACTGCACATTTTCTCAACAGTCACAACCCACTGAACACAGGTTCTATTCCAGTGTTTTAACCTGAATGATATGCAAAAGAAATTTGGTGCAATCATTGTTCAAGTTCAAATTCATAATTAGCTTTTTAGCATTAAGATGTTTTAATAGACGCTGGTTTTCTCTGTAAACAATGCTCGAAGTGATCGGTTCATCTTTGGACGTCGACAGGTGACCACACTGGAAGGAGACCGTTGTTAAGTTGACGGACTACATGAATGTTTTGAACGTTGGTCACTTTATTTATTATGTGAGAGAATCAGCATCAAACACCGTCTCCAGAGAGTCCTCAATAGAGGACGCTATCGTGGGCTGTTGTGGTTCGAGGACAGTCTTGAGACAGAAGTCGATGTTCTGAATCCATCTTTTAAATAAACTGTATGAGCTTATTGGCCCACATGCATCAGAGCTAACGAGCTAACCGAACCAGACGTGTAGATTAAATCTTCTGTCCGTCAGCATTAAATGTCACGTCTCAGCCTGTCGGGTAAGATGATCATCAGAGATGCACCGGTTGCAATTTTTCTTGGCCGTTTTCAGATTTTCTTAAAAGTTTGATCTGCCGATTCGGATTTTCTCTCCAAGAACTAAAATTGACAGCGAGGCTCCAGATGAACTCTTTTCTCCACCGTCAAGAAAAAAACGATTTTCAAGCAACTTTATTTATTGAAGCTTCTCTTCAAAAACTACATGTAACAAGATCAAATTCACATCACGATAAAGTTATAATTTATCAAGTCAATGCAACATCCGCTAGCGTTAGCTGTTAGCCGTTTGGAACCGTTGCTCCAGTTCTTTTTTAAGAAAGTTCCTTCCAGTTTTCTGGACTTGCAGTTGTGACAAATTGTGAGCTTTATGTCTTCTTCACACCGCCGACGTGTTGTGATTGTTTGTGACGTTGCTGTGCCAACATACTGTATAACCATAATGCGGTACATGTGTTTCAATTTTAACGGCAAAAAATATGAAAAAGGTCACGAACTATCAGCTGAAAATGGTTTTGATTGGCGGCCGATCAATCGGTGCATCTCTAATTATCGGATCAGCTACTTAAGGCTAAAAGTGTTAGCATTCATCAGAAACACAGACATGGCGCCATAACACCCGTCAGATGTGTGGGTAAAGTGAGCGATAGATGAAACTCTCCAACGTTGATGTAGTTCTTTAGATTTACCCGACCTCTGTCGAGCTTCAACAGATACCTTCATTCAGCAATGTAACGCATCACAACATCATCTGGTTGCTATTTACTGTAGCTAAAACCTGTCTCACTACTCTCTAATGTTTATCTATTGGCTTTGTGTTTGAGTGGCTGAATGCTCGTGTTTGTGCGTTAGATTAGCCAACAGAACAAAGACTGGTAGCATCATCAAGCAGTAAGAGAAGAGAAATCCTAAAAACCTCACGGGAACACCAAAAAACACGAGGTCAGCAAGGATGAAGGCAGACAATAAAGGAACCACGGCGTTCATATTGGAATGCAGCCGTCGCGGTCTGACAGCTCAAGCCTGATTGGACGCTTTAGACGCTTTCATCGTGTTTGGAGTTAGTTGCTGTTTGTCCTTTATTCTCTTTTCTGAGTAAATATTCTGAAACAAACTTTTCATGAGTTCTTCTTTGGAAAGTGGAGCAGCAGTTTGAAGCTAAAACATTATTTCAGATTATTGAGTCCTAATAGATGATCAGGGCTGTGAAAGTTTAATTTAGTCCACAACTTCTTCTCCACACTATTAAAATCATTAAAGACATTCAGTATACCTCCAGTGACTAGCGTAGCATAGCAATGATAGTCAATGCTGTGCATTGGTTAGCATTAGCAACGTACTCTGCTAGCATTGGCTAGAATTGGCTAGCATTGGCTAGCAGAGTAAGTCAGGTCGGCCTCGGACTTTGAGGTTTCCTCAGCAAATATACAGAGCCGATGTATTTCAGGGGGCCAAGGAGTCTGGGGCCTCACCAGTAAGTATACAGAGTCAGCACAGAGTTGCTTGGTTCATGAGGGCTGGGACTGTGTGGAGTTCACTGCAAATAAAATCCTCAGAACCTCAACAGCTTCTGAGGGAACAGAGTCACTCACAACTGAAACTCTAATATTTCTGTTCATTTGTTTTCGGATTATATTTTTAAACTCCTATGTTGTCTTCAGCAGGCCGGGTGTGGGTTGTTGTTTTTTGACACAGTCACCTATTCCCCCCCCCCCCCATCAGTGGGAGGACGTGGCAGCAGTTACATAATTAACAGCCGTGATTCAGAATCACAGGCGGCGAGGGGAGACGTCGTCCATCATTCTCAATGTCCCGTTAGAGGTAATGAAGGAGGCGGGAACAAAGCCAAGCCACTGAAAGTAGGTCAGTCTGATCCAGGTCTCACAGCGTGTGTGTGTGTGTGTGTGTGTGTGTGTGTGTGTGTGTGTGTGTGTGTGTGTGTGTGTGTGTGTGTGTGTGTGTGTGTGTGTGTGTGTGTGTGTTCATTACAATCACCTATAAGTCGTTTTCATCACAGCCCTTGTTGCCTGGATACGTGCTCTGCCTTTAACCCGCCAAGCTTGTAACTGAAGAAACCTTTAGTCCCTTCATCCACTGTCAGTTAATATGATCAGCAGGACGTCTCACACACACTCACACGGACTCACCTGATTGATAGGTTGAGACTCACCTGATTGATATCAGGTGAGTCCGGTGAACAGCTGATTTATATCAGGTGAGTCTGGTGAACAGCTGATTGATATCAGGTGAGTCCGGTGAACAGCTGATTGATATCAGGTGAGTCCGGTGACAGCTGATTTATATCAGGTGAGTCCGGTGAACAGCTGATTGATATCAGGTGAGTCTGGTGAACAGCTGATTGATATCAGGTGAGTCCGGTGAACAGCTGATTGATATCAGGTGAGTCTGGTGAACAGCTGATTGATATCAGGTGAGTCTAGTGAACAGCTGATTGATATCAGGTGAGTCCGGTGAACAGCTGATTGATATCGGGTGAGTCCGGTGAACAGCTGATTGATATCAGGTGAGTCCGGTGAACAGCTGATAGAACCACTTGTTAGTTCTCTTAATGCCGTATCACCAGAAGGTCGTACTGAAACTTAAATAAAGAAGAAACGAGTCCATGTGAGAAGAGTCTTGTGCAACAGGAGGAAGTCAAATAATGAAAGATGTTCACATAGATACTGTAGTGTTATACAAGTTCAAATGAATGATTCATAACCTCACCAACAGGTCACTTTAGTGTTCTGGAGCTCTTGATTATACCACATTATCTTCCTCAGCAGTTCAATCAGTTTAGAAACACGTTTTTTTAAACGAGGACCGTCAGATGAAGACTGTCAGAGTTCACAGATGGGTTAGTTTGTCATTATTACCACAGCGAGTATCTTTGAGTCTATTGCCATGACTACTGCAACAGCATAAATTATAGGCGGTGATGCTGGACCCGAAATATCTGAATCATTAAGCTGCAGATCTGCATCAAAACATACGACAGATCTCGAGCAGCCTGGTGGTGTTTAATCTGAACATTATTAATTCTTTGCTTCCTTTAGATTCTGCTCATTATTTTTACTTCTCTTCAGTTCTTCTACTAAACTACCTTCACATAAAACTGAACTGCATTCTCAGTTGTGTTTCGAGGGAAACATATTTTCTCTAGGATTATGGTCGGGGTTTTTAAACACATGGTTATCGCTGTAAGTTGAAACAAAATGAAACAAAAATGTAACAAAAGTTGGTTTGGTTTAGTGAAAATCATTGTTTTGCTTAAACTAAGTATATTTGTTATGTTATTTAAGATACCGACGTAGATTAAAAACAGTCAATATTGACTTCTAGTTTCACGTGGCACACTGACAGCCGTCTCCTGGGTTCAAGTCCTGTGTTTGTTTCACTCAGTCATCAACATGTCCTCAAACAACAGTTTGTGTGATTTCTTACGACAAGTTACTCTTCATTTTTTCTGCCTTTTCCTACAAAAGTCAGCAACACGTTTCAGTTTCTGCTTGTTACAAGAATAGTCTTTTTTTAACTATAGTTAAACAAGAAGCAACTCAGTTAGGTTTAAATAACAAAACTATTTAGTTAGGTTTAGACAACTAAACTACTTAGTTAGGTTGAGACAACAAAGCTACTTAGTTAGGTTGAGACAACAAAGCTACTTAGTTAGGTTGAGACAACTAAACTACTTAGTTAGGTTGAGACAACTAAACTACTTAGTTAGGTTTAGACAACAACACTACTTAGTTAGGTTTAGACAACTAAACTACTTAGTTAGGTTTAGACAACAAAACTACTTAGTTAGGTTTAGACAACTAAACTACTTAGTTAGGTTTAGACAACAACACTACTTAGTTAGGTTTAGACAACTAAACTACTTAGTTAGGTTTAGACAACAACACTACTTAGTTAAGCTTAGTATCAATTTAATGAAATGATGAAGCTAAATCAGGCTGGAAGATGGGAACGGAAGTTCAAGCAGGGAGCCTGTGTGTGTGTGCCTAATGAGTGAGTCAGAGTGTGTATCTGTGCAACAGCATGTGTAATAATAGTGGTAGTAATAAAATCAGGACCACAGTGTAAACATGCTCCAGTACACATTAGTGCAGTAGCTGTATTTAACCAATAATACAACAATAAATACAAACAACATTAACAGACAACTCACAAACTACAGAAGAAACAAAAGAGCAAAATGTGTGAAGCTGTCTAACAAAACCAGAGCATCCATCGTGACCAGAAACCAGATTCTTATTTAAAAATCCAACCAGCCAATTAAGTATGGCAGAAGACTTCATGTGGGATTGAAATACAAGTTTATCTTGAATATCTAAAGTTTTATTTTTGTTATTTTAAACTAGTTGTAATGTCAGTTAGTAGTTGGATTTGTCTAACCCCAGGGCGCTTTATTTTTGTCACAGGAGGTAGAGATTCTTAATATTAAGTGTAAAGGGCTTTAAGTGGTCTAGAAAGGAGCTACATCAATAAATAATCAATTTAGCGTTTATCCACCTGGCTGATTTCTCAGTGATTCAGTTGATTACATAATATTTTGCATGTTGGAGGAAGATGTTTCTCTACAGAACAACAGCAGGTCACACAGAGCTGATGGTGATGTTATCTCAGATCAGAGTGTCACTGAGCGAACACATGGTTTAATATGTAAGTGCTGCAGCACAAAGGAAGCATCTCCAGGGAAACGCACACTCCCACCCACAGACACTGAAGCGTCATCATTCCACTCTGCTGCCAGCTTAACATACAAACTGTCACTACTGGCAGAGTCCTCGTGTCCGCAGGATGCATCTAGAAAGACATTTGTTCAATGTACGTGAGTAAATTCATTGACAGACAGACAGAGACAGGATTTCATCCATGACATGAGATTATAGCGTTCATATTGTGTCCCAACACTGTTCAAATGTCTCAATAATCACACTAGAAGAAGACAATCTACGGAAGAAAAGAAGCCACGTACATGTAATCTCATGAGATGCTCTCATCCAGCATTCACAGCTAAACCTACGGAACATAATGAGCTGAAATTCCTAGTTATCCCACAACAATGTTTGGTATGTAATCCTGAAACTGTTAAACCGAACTAAGTATTTTTGTTGCCTAAAGTGACTCTCAATCAAGTCAGTCATCCTGTGACTGCGGTACAAACCGTGTAGAGCTTCAGCTTTTCCAGCAACTTTACCAGTAAACTGGTCAACACCTGACGGACATGTTTTCACCACCTGACACCTTCCTCTTGTCCCTCTTGGTCTTCTGTCAGTCGCTCAGACCGTCGGGATGAAACCTGGTCCGTGAAATGAATCTTTCAGCTTCACAGTTTAGTCATTCACTGCCACACAAAGCAGCTTCCCGCCTCAGATCAGGTGTCTTTGTTCCAGCGGTGAGAACCACATTGGTGCCCCCGTGTACATGCATGGAGATTACTGTGACGAACGTCAAGAGACGGCTCAGAGGACAAGGTCTAAAGGACAGGGTCTAAAGGAGAGGGTCTAAAGGACAGGGTCTAAAGGAGAGGGTCTAAAGGACAGGGTCTAAAGGACAGGGTCTAAAGGAGAGGGTCTAAAGGACAGGGTCTAAAGGACAGGGTCTAAAGGAGAGGGTCTATAGGAGAGGGTCTATAGGAGAGGGTCTAAAGGAGAGGGTCTGAAGGACAGGGTCTAAAGGAGAGGTTCTACAGACCCTGATGATACTATTCAGGTTTTAGGAGCAGTCTTTGGACATGAATACAACTCATTAAGAATATGTCTCACTTGGGCTTTTTATCGCAGTTTGTGGCCTCTTTCCTGTTTACGACCAGCTCTGTGTGTTGAATACAAACCAACTAGCCAACAGTTGGTAAAGCTGGAGTAGAGATCATAGACTGGTTGTAAGAAGTGGACGTAGTCATCATGACGTCTCTCTTCATGTTTGTGGACGTTTGGAAGCCTCCTGTTCAGCGATTTTGCCGCCACCATCTTGTTTTTTGCAACCAGTGAACAGGAAGTGACCATATGTGGACTGAGGAGGAGTGACGTAGAGACACCGTATACATCTCTGGTAGAGACCTGTCAATCACTGTGTAGCCCCGC